TACCATAACTTGTAGTATTTCATCCTTAGGCTACTGTTAATAGACATTAGCCCCACTTACGTTTTGCTAAATGTCCCTTTGCGCCACCTGGCGGTCATTTCGCGAACGACTTTGCAATGCGACTGGTTTATTTTTACCGCGGTGGATGGCTAAAAATGGTATGTGGATGGCTAAAAGGTGTGACTATAAATGTGCTTTTGGCTTTCATTTAAATTTTGATTGTTTGTATATATATATATATATATATATATATATGTGTGTGTGTGTGTGTGTAAACATTTATTTATTTATATACACTACCGTTCAAAAGTTTGGGGTCGGTACGATTTTAAATACTTTTAAAAGAATTCTCTTCTGCTAACCATGGCTGCGCTTATTTGATTAAAAATACAACAAAAATCAGTTATAGTATTAAATATTATTCCAGTGTAAATCAGCTGTTTTCTGTGTGAATATATAGTAAAGTGTAATTTATTCCTGTGATCAAAGCTGAATTTTCAGCATCACCAGTGTCAGTGTCTTCAGTGTCAAATGATCCTTCACAAATCAGTATAATATGAGGATTTGATGCTCAAGAAACGTTTATTATTATCAATGTTGAAACAGTTGTTGGTCTGTCAGTTGTACAGTTTTTTTTTTTGTTTTGTTTTTTAGGATTCTTTGATGAATAGGAAGTTCAAAAGACTTTTGTAACATTATAAATGTCTTTACTGTCACTTTCGATCAAATTAATTATTCCTTGATAAATAAAAGTATTGATTTCTTTCCTCCAAAAAATAAAAATAAAATTCTCACTGACCCCAAACTTTTGAACGGTAGTGTATATATATTGTCCTTGCATTCTTTCTTGTGTGACACCCCTGAATGAAAGGCTCATTAGTATGCAGACTGCTCAGGTGAGAACTGCCTAATTATTCATGAGGGGGTTGGGCCGTTCCGCCCATCCGCATATTGCCTTTGCAAACAAAAAAATGTTTTTCACAATTTAAAACAATCTATTGTTTTATGTGAATGATTAGGCAGAATGATTTTCAGATCAATTTGAAGCAAAAACTCTAGGCGATAACATCCACTAGTCAAAAGTCTTGTGGACAAATATTTAGTATGTTATTTGTGGCCTTATATTATAAACTTTATTTTTTTGTTTTTTCAATAACCACGCATAAACAATATTCTCTCAAAAATACAAACTTGTACATACATGTTGCTCACATATTATGGTAGCCCTGTGTGAGCTATATAGAGTGTAATTTCACCTGTGCCATTAATATGTTTATAAGCAACTGAAAAAAGCACAAATGTCAGAGCATGCTAAAACATCTCAAGGACCCTGAAAACACCTCAGACCCCAGAGGGTTAAAGTGAATCGGTTCAAAGGAGTCAGTTCGCGAATCGGACGTGTCATTAACGGACCACGGCACACGTTGTGTGATTATCCAGGCAGTTTAGGACATCGCACAAGATTTGTCTCAACACAGAAAACATTTCATCACCAGATAGATTTTTTGTTTTGTTTATTGAAAGAGTGGTTTATGCCATCTGAATGTGTGGAAAGCTTTTCAGAGAAGATGAGGCAACGTTATTTTAGCACAATTCACAACCAGTGGTAGTTCAGAAAAAAAAAAACTTCGGTCTTCCGACCTTTTACCATCGTGTATTCTCAAAGATATTCAGTCAACTCAATTCATTATTATGAGCGAGGGAGGGAGAGAGAGCGCGCGCGCGACTGGGGCTTTCACTCTCTCTGCTCGTTCTCTCAGTTAAACAAGCGCGAATCCGCGAAGCCAACTTGATGTGTTGAATGCTCAGAGCGCGTTATAAAACGTATTCTTAAAATACACATTTCTGTTTTAATAAATGCTCATAGTAAATCATAGCATATTGCCTAAAACATTAGGTAGGTACAAAAATAATCAAACGGTGATACATTTGCGACCCATTAAAAATTAGGGTCGCAATGGCATTTCAAAAGGTCGCATATGCGACCATTTTGGTCGCAGTGTAGTTCCCTGGCAGTGTCCATTCTCGGAGCATATAAGCCCTGCTTGCGTGAGGCGCGCCGCTGCTTTATTTAAATCTACCCTACTTTGTCAGTAATTTGTTTGTGAAAAAAATATTAGACTACCTTATTAAAAATATTGCTTAAGTTAACAGACCTGTGTGTTTTATATCACAAGTGCAGTGTCCATTCTCGGAGCATATAAGCTCTGCTCGCGTGAGGCGCGCGCATCCCGCTCGTGCTGTTCTGTAGTTTATTAAAAGTTTATTAATTCTGAACGTGTCTCGCCTGTCTATCTATATTGCACCAAATACGACACTGCACTCCCTTGTGAAGTCGTTTGGATGAACGGTTCTCGAAATAATCAAAATGGGAATGGACAGACAAACATATAGAGATTCCGAAGCTTCGAATATTTGATGTTCATTACTACCGACGCTTCGAAGCTCAAAAAATGGTATTCGGACCAGCCCTAAAGTATGCACAAAAAATAGATGCTTAACAGGATCGAATGATGTATAACACTTATATGTAAGATCAAAATCAACAGAGTATTTTGAGTCTCTTTTGCACTAAGAAAAAAGCGAGCTGGTATCGCCGGTGCGACCGCCAACCCCAGGGGGTTAATTCCTAAGGGAGTGATGGACTTTTGTCTTATTTTGTGCTGTATTATTTGGTTACTGTTATTTCTGTTTCAAAAGGCAGCAATAATTAACACTTTAAAATCTAAAGACTGTTCATGTGATTTTATTCATTATACTTACATAATTAGCGTGATAATCGTGAAACTATGATTATTCCTCAGACTATAATTGTACCAAAAAATGTATTTGCATCCCTACTTGGTCAGCAGCGTACCAAGTACCGAAATGAGCAAATTCATGATATCGAACATTTTGAAATTAAAATATATACAGATATTTTCCCAGTACCAATATACCGTGCAACTAGGGCTGTGCTCAAAATATCGATACAACGATACATCGTCATGAACTCCTGGCGATATGCGTAATTAACACTTTAAAATCTAAAGACTGTTCATGTGATTTTATTCATTATACTTACATAATTAGCGTGATAATCGTGAAACTATGATTATTCCTCAGACTATAATTGTACCAAAAAATGTATTTGCATCCCTACTTGGTCAGCAGCGTACCAAGTACCGAAATGAGCAAATTCATGATATCGAACATTTTGAAATTAAAATATATACAGATATTTTCCCAGTACCAATATACCGTGCAACTAGGGCTGTGCTCAAAATATCGATACAACGATACATCGTCATGAACTCCTGGCGATATGCGTATCGATACAGCAGCTGCTGTATCGATACAGTGCTTTTGAATGTAGCCAATTCAGGGCTCCAATTTCGGCGCGGGATTGCGGGTATTGCGCATAATTTTAACAATTCCCGCAGCTCTCCCACTTATAATGCGGGAAATTCCCGGAAACATTGATTCACTTTAGCATGTAGGTTCGGTTGTATTAGTAAATGAATCCACACAGATTATAAAATCAAATTAGTCATTTTAAAACTTTCTGTGAGACGCAATTTCACAAACAGCTTCTCTCGCTCTCGTCTCTCTAAACGGGCAAGCGTCACGCGCTGCAGCCGGTGAAACTACACGCTCGCGTTCAGGAGTCGGGACATGACGGAATATTCACTTGCATAATCGGGCCAGCGTTGCATCGTGACTAAAGTTTACCATTTGCACGTCTTTAAGTCTTACCAGTTTAAACATTCAAACGATTTTAAACTATTTGCGCGCTCTCTGAGAGTTGGTTTTCTCTGCGTGCATACATAGACTAGAGTAAAGCCGCCTCACATACAGCTCGCGAGATTATATCGCTTTAACAGACTAAAACACGCACAATTATGTCAAAAATTTCGTTCTTGGTAAGTATCCTCTAAACACTGTTGGTTATGTCTTAAATAAGCATAAAGGTTTTTAACAGAAACGGCAATTCCCTGGTTGTATGATGAAGTTAAGCGAGATATTCTGCTGTCACTCTTAACCCTGAGCATGTTGATCAATTGTTGTTTCTGCATAAAAAATTGAAAATGTAATCATTTAAAATGATTTCAACGTAGAATAAATTACTTTGTTTGATGCACATTCCAAGACTTAAGACCTGTTAAATACTAGGTGTTTAAAAGAGTTTGAGAAAAAAAAAAAGTTAAATTTAAGTTGTTACCGTTTTTGCTTTTATGGAATGTTTTAAGTTTTGTTTAGTCATTGAGCAGTGTAGACATGCTTCAGTGTTACTATAATTGTCATTTCAGTTTTTGAGGCAGACTTTAAAAGCAGAAGGAAGAGCCATTCTAAGCTTTTTTATTTATTTAACTCATTGTTTTTCAGTTATCACAACTGTTATAACACTGGTTATTCAATAAACAGATATTACTGTTACTAAACTCAGCTCAAAAGAAATTTCAATTCCAAATTGATCCATATCGTGATATGTATCGTATCGTGGCTTTAGTATCGTGATACGTATCGTATCGTGACATTGTTGATGATACACAGCCCTACGTGCAACCCCAATTCAGTATTTGTGCTTTCTGAGCACGTGCTATAGATGTGTTGCGATTGATTAGATTGAATACTCTTTTGTGTCTTGTGCTTGAATATTTAAATTAGTTGGCTTAAAACACATGCAAGTAATAAACTTTCATGAAGATGCAGCCCTGTCCTGAGCGGACAAGTGACGATTCTATTAACTGTCCCGATTGTTGTTCAAGCTGCCATTGGGCCGTCCTTATTGTCAATCCCTACTATAGTGTTTTGTCACTTGTGCAACCCTATTAAGCCATCCAAATGTTTAAGGTCTCATTTACAATAGTCATTTTGGAGAACCATGTGGATCAGTAAATTATAAGAGATTGTCTTTTTTTTTTGTGGGTAAACTATGCTTTTATAGAATATTACTTGGAAACTGTTTTCAGAAAATGTTCATTATTGCGTCACCTCTGATTTGTTGCTCACCTTCACAGGTATGGTTTCGTTTATTTCAGCGAGGACGTTGATATCCAGACTATCGTTGATGTAAGGAGGTCACTTTTACCTTTCTTCATGACTTTCTTCTCTCTTTTCTTTCTGGGTGTTGGTGTTATGAGGGCAGGGTGATATATTGTACATTTTAATTCTTTTACAGCAGCAGATCAGTTTTAAAGGGAAAAAACTCAAACTGGGACCTGCTATCATGAAAGAGCGAAATTCTCGTGAGTCCATGTGCTTCGCTTTCTATTTGTAAATGTAATCTTAATGACTGAAAATGTCATGGTTAAAACATTCTGGGATCTTTCTTATCCCAGGTTCAGTGTCGTCTCCAATAATTGGTCCATCACAGTGGGTCAGCCCCACCCCATATGTGTATTGTAGCTGCTGTCCCCCAGGCCTGGCCCCGCCCTCACCTGTCTTCAATGGAGGGAATCAATACATGCAGGTAACGCATCATGACACCCTGTCTATAAACATAATGGCCCTCATTTACGGAAAACTGAAAACAGAAAACTGATCGTAAAACTTGCCATTTATCAATATGGACGTGAGCGGTGGCTACAATCAAATCTCACGTAAGATTTCAGCCCGTGTACACAAGTTTTGGAGTTAGCATGAAGGTGCGAGCAGAATAGCAAATCTGGTGGAAAATTATTATGAGAGCATTTTGTTCAATTTAGATTATTTTCCTGACCAACAACCGACGCTTTTTAACTGATCATTATCTGTTAAATGACTAGATTAGAATGTCAAATTGAAATTAAATTAGAATGGGTGGGTGTCTGTGACCCATTAAAAATACAAATGTTTTACATGTGCAAATAGCAGAATAAATGACACTCCACGAACAAGTTCACAGAAAATGAGATCACACAAAATGAGACCGCCGAAAGCGCATTGTATTTGTTTTCTTAATTTTTATTAAGGCCCACTGATCGCGCAGGTGCCGCACGCACACAAACATCAGTTTGTACCGTTGCTAACTTTGCATTTTAGTTTGAACTCGCTGAAATGTTGGGAACCAAACATAAGTTACACTGCTCAAATTAAATGGTCCGCTGTACAATGTGCTGAGCGTGCCCACCGCCCCATCAAACACACATTTTGGATGAATTGCAAATTTTCAAGGATGATGTTTTAAGTACTAAGCCTGGTTTACATCATAAATAATGTTATACACCAATACACCAAATGTTAGATTGGGAATATGGAAATATGTGGATTTGTGCCAAATTAGATTTTCATTCTTGTTTTGTTCTGAATAGCCTACCGATAAATTTAAAGGATTTGTTGTGGAATGAGGGGAACTAAAATTGCCTAGGCTATATGTTTATAATGTTTGTAAATAGTTTTATTTACCGGTATTTAATATTCGTATGAATTAATTTAATTGTTTGCATTTACTAGGTTAACAGGTGTTTTTGGTGTAAGATGAATCTCTCTTTCATGAGATTACTTGAATTACGGTGGTTTTGAGCCGTCACATTTATCAACGTACGATCCTTTGAATGATGGGATTGGCAGCATACAAATGTTTCATGAATCACACGTGAACCCTGTCGTAAGACATCAGATGGATGAATGAGGCCTAATGTGGAAGGAGTTAAAACCTGTTCACAACAGGGAAGAGAACTGATAACACTTTTTTTTCTTTCTTTTTTTTAACATTAGAAAGAATAGAACTTAGTCAGGGTAGCTTCGTTTAATATTTAAAAGGAATGTTCCCTGTGAGGGATAGAATACAATAGATTGTAGAGCCTGACCAATTTCTGCCAATTTTATCGGCCGATATGAGCATGTCGCAGATATATCTGCATCAGCGTATATGACCTTTTTTTTTCTTTTTAACAGAACATATAATGCAGATAAAATGCTTGTAAATTGTGTAATTGCGTAGTTTGTCCAGCAGAGCGCGCTCCATTGTTTGCTACTGTCGTGACACCAGCCAACCCTTTCACTTCAGTAAGTAGGTCTCTTGTTCAGGCAGCAGCAGACAAGGGGTGTCTTCACAATAGTTGGTGAGATGCAATGCTATAAAGTAAATAAACAATGTCCCAGCCTTTTACTCTCACAATGAGCTGCTTATACTCGTTTGCTACATTAGCTAGCTAGCCATGTTTCATACCTTGTCAGCGGCGTGGAAACTAATGTGTGCTAGGGCTGTCAAAATTGCTCAAAAATGACGTTCGAATATTCCCTCTAAAAAAAAAACCATATATTCGAATATACTGGATGCGACGTGAGCGACAAATTTTCGACAGTAAACTGATGCCTCGTTCTATTTATGACGTACTGACATGAAGGACAAATGCTTTGCAGCGGGTGCTTTGTCACGTCCAGTGTAGGCAGCTTTTAGCTGTTGTGACGCGAGCGACAAAGGTCGCGTCCGGTGTAGACACTGTGTTACCCCATTCTACCTATAAAGCTAATGTGCAGTTAGTTTATTCATTATTATTATTTATTAATTTTAAATGTTTACATTTGGAAAAGCTGTGCTTCCTGCATGAGCCTGCCCCAGTTGGATTGGCAGTAGCTTGCTTGCCCTACAATTACCTTGTTTGTTTTCTTAATGCAAGTTATATATTTTACATTTATATTTTACAGTTACTTATGAGACGTGCTCCAGTTCACGTCCAATGCAATATCGCGCCGGCGCCTCCTTGTCCTGTTTATATTGTCTGCTATATTTGCTTCTCATTTATTAAATCTAGGCAATTGCTTGATGAAACATCGATTAAAATTAAGATACAATTTATACAAAACGAAATTCACTTTAAAGAAAAACTTTATACAAAACTTAATGAAATGGTCAAAATCATGTCTGACCCACTTCATATGTCTCCCGATATATTGTGCATCTAATGATCCTATCTTACTCATGCTCAAGGCTGTATCCACCATTGAGGTCCCCGAGGTCAGGACCTTGGTAATTTTTTGAAGTGGATATAATGATGGTTGTGAAATAATTGCCTAATGTTAACTCTACTTTGGTGCTGCAATGATATTGCATATCGCCACGATAACCAACTTCATCTGAGCTGCTTTTTGCGCTCCCGTTCGTTATTAGGGATGCATCGAAATGAAAATTCTTGGCCAAATCCGAAAAAGAGGAAACCAAGGCCGAAAACCGAAACACCGAAAGAAATTATGCCAATTATTAGTACCATTGCATTTGGCTATGACTGTGTACAAAATGTACTAAAATCTAGGCATTGCAATTGCATAAATTAATATAAAATTTTCAAAGAATAAATCAATTACAAATTATGCAAATATTTATTTAGCAAAATGCACAGTATAAAATAAAATTCAAACTTAAATGATTAACTTGACCCCACTCATGTGTACATTAAATAATAATCTACTGGCCTGCAGAAAGGTTTTAAAATTAAATGTGCTCTCATAAAAAAAAAGGCGAGCACAAACTTCTCATCACACCAGCACCCACTTTGCACGTCTAAATTAGTTGCTTACATTTTAAAAAATGAGCATACAATAGCATAAAAAGCCTTTTTAATGAACAAAGGTCCATGTTTAATACAAATGTACACGAAACTTAATGAAATATGTTTAGTGAAATTAGAAAATATTTAAGAGCGTTAATTTAGTTGTATACATGCATACATGCATGCATACATACATACATACATGTGACATTACAAAAAAATATGTATATGGAACAAGTAGTAATCTCAGGGTTTACTGGGTTTTACGTGATTATTTTTGTAATCTATAAAATAAACAGTCACGTGTTTATCTTTCTTCTCGCCGATTCCTGATGGTTGGAGGACAGTTACTTTAGTCCCCTGTCGTTTCAAAGAATAGTACAACGGCGAGCGCGTCAAGTATAAACGCCTCGACCGTTTGGGCTAGAGAGGTGCGCGCGCTATCTGTGGAGACTCGCGCTGCGGAGGCAGGCGAAAGTATAAACAAGGCTTCTGTCTCCTCGCAGGTTCAGATATAACGAAATACGTCCACACCGCAGACATGTTGCTTTAGACAAGCACGTGCAGGTCGCGGTTTCTGTTTGTGTCATCACAACATTTCTGCCGTATTGTTTCGATAAGTTATTCGGCCGAATATTCGGTGCATCCCTATTCGTTATTTTAAATGTAGATGCGTGAAAGTAGGGGTGTGACGGTTATTATATAACCGTGAGACCGACGGTTTATAGTTGAACACCGTCATTAGTACTCTATAACCGCCAAAACCGTGCTATTAAAATATTTTTTACAAACATTTTTTATCATAGAGAATGTTTAAATACTAATATCATCTTACGAGGGAAACGGAGGCTGCTACTGCTGGAGATGATTCGGGAGAGGTCTGTGCACCTTTACCGATCAGAGCGCGCGCTGACACGGAGTAAAGCCTTGTTTATACTCGACGACGCGCCCGCACGATCGCGAAGGTGCGCGCGGCAAAAATGACGCGTTCGGTGCGCACGACCGGCAAGACCCCATTTGGCTTGGCTGTGTGGACGGCTTTTTTTGTAACAGCGCGCGCGGCGCCGCGTCCGAGGGTGACCGACTTCAAGCCGAATCTGCCCGAGCATGAACGTCTCACCGCACCGGCACGCAGTTTGCGCGTCTAAATTGCAAAATTAATTCCAAAGTTTTTTCGTTAAGGTTTTGTTTACTGTGTGCGATTTATTTAAAACAAAGCACGTTTGTTTGCAACGTTTGCAAACGTTTGTTTAAGGATTTGTTTACTGTGTGATACATTTAATGGAAAGCACATTCACTTCTATTTGTCTTGCTGTTCATGTTAAATAAACGCCAGTAGCTAATCAGTGTCTACTTGTCCTATAACAAACGAACAGTTATTCACCCCCCCCCCCCCCCCCCCCGACGACGGTTATGTTACGAACCGTCACATTTGATTCACGTCATAACCGTCATCACCAATTCTGAAACCGGCACACCCCTACGTGAAAGGTGCGCCCAAATAGAGGCGCCGTCGCAACACTCGCTTGTTTTCCCAGGCATGGTGAAAAAAAAATCTAATCGAAGTAGGCTTTAGGGCTTTGTTCACAGAAGGTCCGAGCCGAGTGCGAATTTTAGTGCGACGCTTCACGACACTTTCAGTTAACGGTCATATAGTGCGAGTCTGGCCTTCGAGATGTAAGTAGCTAAACCAAACAACTGTTTACGATAAAAGTATTAAACGAGTAAAAGAAACAATCAGTTTGCAAAGACGGTATCAATCAAAACTCAGCTTTGGGAAGAGAAGATATACAAGTAAAGATTAGGAGACTGCGAGAAGAAAGAGAGAATGTGATGGAGATGAGAGAGGAAGAGCAGGTATTCATACTTTGCAGTCACGTGACTACCATGGATACCTGGCGGGCAACAAACGGGTATTTTCAACATAGAGTCCTGTAGTTCCAGGTCTTATGGGTCTTTTAGTAGCTATCAAGTCTGTTAGCGAGCTAGCTGCATAACT